AAACAGAGGGTGAAGGAAGGATGTTCGTTGTTAAGTGATTAAAATTCCACGTTGGACTTGGTCGAAGGTCTCCGCGGGGAGTCGTCCCGGAAGGATCTATTCTGGGTCGCTTCTCAGGTATAAGAGGGTCTGTAATCCCTCCTTGTTCCGGCCGGAAATTCTTCGCCGTGGTACCGAGCGTGTTTGATCGCGGCGCTAATTAATCTTCCTTAAGACGCCGCTAAAGAGGCCTGTTTCCGCTAATGAGGATATACGACTTCCTCCCACCAATGGCTACGCGAGACTTACGCCAGGGAACAAATAGAACGTTGTTTGTTATTCGGTGGTTGAATAAATGAACGATTGCAACAGTTTTGTTGGGAACAGGTACAACGGAAGTAATTATAATAGACACCTTACTTTCACGTGTTTATTTAACGGGCAATAAGCCTTTTGGTATACATGCACAGGGCGGTAAATCAGATCACAAAATTATAAAACTATAAATGAAGAAGCAAAAATTAAAAATTATAAATAGAACCTGATATAAATAATAGACCTTTTAATCATTCATCGATAAGTTGCGAAGAGGGTAGGTCTATCCAGTCAATTGTTAAGTTCATAATTGTGTTTTGTTGTTAGTTTTTACTTCAATCGTCACTGAAGTTTGTTCAGATCAAGGGACCGATAATTTATGACCGTGCCACTTGGGTACCGATGGTCCGCAGGTCACCTTCGATGCCGTGCGTAAACATGACCTCTGCTTCGTTCAGGTATAAGATTATCATTAGTTTCAAGAGTATGAAAGGAATGCGGTACGAGTGGGGAAGAACGTTTAGTTGACTAGCGATGGTCAGTATAGAAGCAAACGTCGAACGAGGCAGAACATTATTCAGTGTGGATTCGCAATATAACAGGTATTGTGAAAAATAGTTAAATATAGTTACTTTTATTTCATTTTAACACTGGAAATTAATATTAATTACCAAAACTCATCTCAATTCTACAACTTTTGGAATCGCATCCAAAATTGAGTGAACAATATGATCAAGTGGTGCAAGTGTTAATGTAGACTGCGTGGATTTTGTGAACTGTGAAGTTGTAAGAGCCGAAATACGCACTCTTACGTTACTCTTCTACTCCTCCAAAACCCCAAATATCACAAAATATTCTTCTTACATCGGTACCTCAACTAAACACGTTCACGATGCATCCAGAATATCTGAATAATAATCGAATTCTCGCGTTTTCCTCTCGATCTAACCATCGATCTCTCAGTTTTCCGGTTCTTCCATCGGCTGAAAACGGGCCGAGGAGTCACGCCACCAAGAATAATTTCATTAGCTACGAAATTAGAGCGGAAAAGCGTGTCCTTCCCTCGTCCTTCTCGATTGTTCTCCGCTGGGCCGACTTTAGACGGGGAATGGGGGATAATAATTACATCATTGTCTCCTTTCGTCACGGGTCAGCTGCGATTCCGGGTAGGATCGGGCTGTGATCTGACGCGCAATAAATATGGTAATCGCGGAGGTGGAATTGCGTGGATTTCCGTGGCGCTCGAGAGGATCCCAGTTGAGGAGGAATTCACCCATCCCCTTCCTCCCATCAGAAATCCCCTCTTCCGGTTTAGAAACGATACGATTTCACGGACGGTGTTGCGTTGCGAGTCCGAGATCTTTCGAAGGGGACGGTGTTGCGTTGCGAGTTTGAGATCTTTCGAGGAGAACCGAATAATTTACGATAGGATTTTCCACTGAGTTTGGTAATCTATACATACAGTGACTCACGTGTTTTTTCATATAGTTTCCAAATTGCAATTAAGTGTAAAAATTTCTATGCATTTTCTATATACATATATACATATGCTCGTCATTTTTACTTTTATCAATTCAACTTCAATCATACTTTTTTCAATAATTATTTATTTATTTTTATGCTTATGGGTAATAATCGATTTAGACGTAAGAAAGCCTGCAAACTAATAAAAAACATTATGAGAAATGATTAAAGTGAAGGAGAAATGTGGAACTTATCGTGCAACGATTCAAGAAACCCTCGCCATTAATTTTTACCCTAAATAAGTTCCATTTCGTGCGATTTATCTCGATCGAATTTATTAGCAGAAATTTGCAAGTGTCTCGACGTTGAGAATTTGAAAAGCATGGTATACCAAATTTATCTCGTTCGAATTTATTAGCAGAAATTTGCAAGTGTCTCGACGTTGAGAATTTGAAAAGCATGGTATACCACGAATCTGCGTATTACGACACTCGTACCCGCCGTTAATTAACACCGATAGCTTGTTAATACGTATCGGAACCAGATCGCGTCCTTAATCCCGTGACCGTTATCGGCGGCGGGGCTGTGGGGGTGGTTATAAACGTCAATGGAATTGTTCCAATAGAGAAGTGGCTTTTCGTGCGAGATTGAAGCGATTGGTAACGGTGGGCCGGTTAAATCCGCATTGAACTCGGCCCGTTACAAGCGCGGCCATTACCGTAAACACGTGGCTACCAAATTGATTTTAAATTACCGCGGTCACCCCCCATTCCTACCTCGTTCGATTCAACCCCCTCCCACCAGCCGTCTGCGTTGTTGAATATGACGTTGGATCAGGTCGTTCGACCGCAGATTTTTCAACGACACGTTAATGGGTACGATTCGAATTTTTGGGCTGTAAGTTTATTGAGTGTGTCCCAATTGATCGCTCGATTAGTTTGCTCGAATCGAGAAATATATTGTGATAATTGTCGAATATTAAATGTTTCAATGAATTCTAAGCCTTGAACGTTTCCTTTGCGTATAATGAAACATATTTAAATAATAAATGTATCGTGGTTTCTCATCTGACCGAAATAAGAGGTCCTGAAAAAGTAAAAGTTACTCTAGAAAATGTGAATAGAATTGAAACCACACACACACAAACCCGAAAAACAAATTACAATTTTCTGTTTTCTGTTATCTAAAGCAGAAGTTGTGGATTACCATCAGCGTGGTGTTTTATTGATGCATAAAACCCGTGGCAGGCAGAGACTTGTTCTTTAGCGGCCATGAAAAATTGCGCTGTCCCCGGGAGGATTTTCGGTGCAAGCTTATCTCTGCTTGGGAATCGCCGCGACCCCGTTTTCTTTGTTGCTCCCATCACGCTTGATTAACTTGCTTTATCTCGTTCTCCTCGCGAGCCAAGATTTCCGATTTATTCGCAAAAATCATCCGCCTCTGTCGTGACGTCCGAACACGTCGTTAAAGGGAAACGTTCTTCTTCCCCTCGTCTTTGCTTTCGGGAAACTGAATCTTCATGGAGAAAAAAATTTCTGTCTTTATAGACACTATAGAAATTACAGAAATCATAGGAATCATAGGAATCGTAGGAATGGTAGAAATCATAGATATAATCCTAAAAATCAGAATATTTTCAGTAGGATCATCGCATTTTTATTGATTGTTGAATTAAATTTATAGAAGGATGGAAAATACACGAGATGAAGGGTCGCCTATAATATTTCGAGAAGTACATTAGGAAATGTGGTAGCAGTCAGGAAACTTTTATTGATTACACCAACAAACTCCATTTCACTTTGAAGCAACGCTACAAAGGTGAACGTACTGTGTGTACAGCACACAGTAATCCGCCATTTGTCACACTCAAAAGTTAGTTGAGATTACAAACAGAATCTTCGTGCAACTTCATGCTTTTCATCCGTTTCCAAACCATTATGTTCTCGACAAACGTTATTTTTCACATGCCTTCGTGCATCGAGCACTGTTTCACTGAAAAGAAAAGTAACGATGTTCCTCGGTTTTTATTTTTAGCTTCGAGATACAATTCAAGGTACTCGAACTCTTCGCTGTTAAGTGGATAGAACGCATAGAAATATTGAAAACTCCTCGACACGTTTTTCTCGACACTCTGTCGACTAGCTTTCGAGAGAGTTATTTGTATAAACAAGAAAAAATACTATAGTTTAGATGATAAATCGAATAGACATTGAAGTTGATGGATTCTTGAAAGAGGTATCAATGTCTCAATCTCTTCTGTGTTAATTCTATTTATGAAGCATACTTGAGCAACACCTATAGGCGTTTCTCGTCACAGGCAGCGATCAAATCAGTCGAAAATCAATCCACACACACTGTCGATCCTTGACTGATGTGACGACATAGTAACAATAACAAATTATTCCCTCATTTTCCCTGTTTTATGATTGGTAATAAATACATCCATGGACGACATACAACAGGTTAATTAAATTGAATTAAATGTGAAGTAAATTGTTCTTTAATAGTCAGGTCACAATGACCCATCGTACTACTGATTTCATAATAATGGCACAGCGTCAACTGAAGGTACAAGGATTATTCAGACATAATCCAATGAAAAAAAAAAACCAAACTGAGACCCGTTTAAACGGCATCGATGAAATTTATTTTCTCAATTCTCTATTATATGCTAGCACACGACAGGAACTCGGCCCTTTAAACGGGCCGATCGTGTCGCCTGTCTTCCGACACCACCACGTTCGTTTAAGGATCCAGAAGATCCATGAGCAACGACAACTCGCGTGTCAAACAGGTAGAACCTGGAATCTGGATCGCGATCGGAGGTACAAAATTCATATATACGTTTCGCTCGATGTTCACTTTTTTACTATCTCTGTTGAAAACTTCACAGTGATCGCATCTTCTTGCCAAACCTATTTGCATAGAGCATTACAAATTGCGTCCAAGGGGTAACTTCAAATTTCAAAGAAAATTCTTAACCCTTTTAGTACCTTAAGACACTTATTTTTATAAAATAAGTTTGTGTAGTAGAACATACGTTTATTAGATAGGAATAATAAAATTTAAAATAAAACACGTGAAATGTATCTTCATTTTTAAGACAAATATGTTAATTTTAATAGATACCTAATCGCATATCTTTAGGCAGTACCCGGAAAATTTATAAGGTACCATAAGGGTTAAGGTTTTTAAGGTGTTTTTCTTTGTTTTACATAATCATACTGGTATTACGGCTGCGATTCAAGTTGTTCCGTGAATTTCACGCAAGACGTGAACCATCCAGCCACGGATCCGCTTAAGCCCGCCAACTTTTTCCAGAAAGTGTCCTCCGCTTGAAACGCGCGTGGACCCCAGCTGACCAAGCGCGAATCCCGGATTAACTTTGAGGGGAAAAAAGAAACACGCGAAACGGAACACAAATTAGCCGGTCGGGGCGAGTCGAACTTCTCTTCGGCACACAATAGTCAGGAAAGTGATCCGCGTCATCACGTTTCCGATAATCGACGTGATCTATGAAACGTGTTCGGCCCTCTCGTTGAGTTGTTTAAATTTCGTACCTTTTTTTATCTAGCAGCGGACAAAAACGACATCTCACAGACGCCAACTTAACAAGTTACAGCCTTTTTATTGAATTCCCTTGTATATTATTAAAAAATCGTAACACTAGTTCCTCAAACTGATCGAATCGTGACACCCGGTATATGGAATGGAACGTAACTCGTCTGAAGAACGATCTACGTCTAAAAACAAAGCGATTACGTGAAAAGAAGTTTCTCTGCACGAGGCTCCGTTCTCGAGAAAGCTGGATCTGAAAGTTTGTAGCTTCTAGAGGTATTAAATTTTGCGTTAGTATCGTTTAAATTGTTAATAGTTCGAAAATGGAAAATAAATCCGTAATCGATATATCGATAAACAGCGATACACCGAATTACTTCTGCGACCAACATAACAACACAAGAAAAGGGTTTGAGAATCACTGAACCCATTGTCCCCCCAACTTTGATACAATTTTCCTCGATAATAGGGCCTCGTATGAAAAAATGTATTTGATATTTTCGACAAATTTTGCTCCGAAGATTATAGCTGTACTCGCTGTTCCGACGAATTACGTCACTTCCGGTTTATTAACGGGCGATTTCGATTTTCCTACCGCTGGGTCTATTCATCATCCGTACCCTGGCGAATTCACTTACGGGACGTGTTCCGCGAGGGCGTCGAGGATCGAAATCGACGGGCAAAGAAAGGTTGAACTTCGGTCGTTCTTCTTCCGAGTGCTGCCTCCTTCTCCCCGTTTATCTCTGCCTGACGGGAGAAAATATTGTCCATTGTGTGCAAGGGATGTTTCCATATTTCTCTCACGGTCTCGCCACGGTCCTCATCCCGCTGGTCTCGTCGTGGCTCTGCTTTCGTATAATCGTGTATATATGTTTACGTTGTCACGTACGTGTACGTGTATGTTTGTCTATTCCACGTTTCCCCCTGGTGCACTTTGAGCGCCGTTGCCTTCCTTGATCCCGATGGACAGCTGTCTCGAGGCGAGCTTTTTCCCTTTACTTCTGCGCCGACTACTGTAACAGTTCGAAGCACAACGAAAGGAACGTGACGGGCACCCGACGAGTATGTGTATTCGGACAAACAGTTTCTATGGTTCGCGTTTCGTAATACTCGACGCGGAGTTCAAGTTCCGGACAAAGTTTCCTGTCGAGAGTTCACGGCAACCGGGAGCAAAAGTCGCCCGATTGAAGAATCAGTTCGATCTGACTCGAATGAATCGATTCGATTCTTCAATTGAATTTCCATTAGCACGTTGCAACTAAAAGTTAATCGTCTTGTGTTATTAAAACTATCTCTTCGAACATGTGTCCGACACTGTACGTTTTTTTTTTTTTTTTCGAATCTTTTTGTAATTTTCATTCCGTCCCAGTTGTGTTTCCTGTCACGACGCGGTGGAAATGCCGACGATTGCGACGAACGAGAGAAAAATGAATAAGTACATAAATTGTCAGTGACGTCAATGTAAATTTTATCGTCAACTGCGCAGGTCGTGTAGATCAATGAGAAGACACTTGTGAATACATTCGATAAAGTGATTCTTTCAAAATATTGACGGAATTTAGATGACAAATGATTAATTTGCCTGAAAACAAGGGGAAACAGGAGCATTTAAGACATCCACAAAACATATTCATAAATAAATACAAACAGAGTCAGTATAAATATTTCTGTGTATTTCCTCATTTCTATACGAGTCATTATAAATAATCCAAAAATACAATATCGAACTGATCGTAATTGAATAAAATTATAATTTCCATTTTGCAAAATAAATAATTCTCCTTTAAAAAATATACTATTAATCGGACGATGTTTAACAGAAGTGAAACGTTGACGGAGAAGCTTCTCTAGACAATGTCTTTTTAATTGTTGATCAAGGCAGTGTCTAATTGGAAAATTTGAATCCTATTAAAAAAGTAACAGTTCTATTTTCTATTTCTGACTGACCTTCGAGTCTCCGGCACCAAGGAACACGAGACCGATCGCGCCAGCGTATGCTAATAATGTGTCTATAGCTTGCTGGGTCTCCAGAAGAATCCTTGTCTCGTTCATCCAATCCTTGGCGACGGACCTGGGCGCGCCTTGTAGAAGATTCATGTACCGAAGTGCCATTTTGAAATCGCCACGATCGAGCCAGTACCTGAAAACACACATAAAAAATTGTGTTCTAAAGTCCCGCCAATATTTGCGTCCCTGACTTTTATTTATCGATGCAAAAGGTCGGCAAGTGTTCGAGGGGTGACCCACCCTCAATGTTCGCCATCTCAATTTCACCGGGGGATAGCTGATACAAATTTTTCGAAACGATCGAAGCCTCATTCTCCTATAAGCTCGCGTTACCATACTTTTCTGTTTATACCTCGTTCCTCGGACAGCGGACAGGTAATTCGGGATGATCATCATCCCTCTCTTTCAAAAGTGATTCCGCTCAAGATTATCGAATATTGGATTCCGATTTCGAACTGCTTCCCGCGTCTTTATTCCTTGATGACTCAGATATTGAAATGGAACAGGACGATCAAACCGAGAAACCGCCGCGCGGAATGGACTTTTTGGTTCGATAAAATTGCATGGGTCCACCCACCCTCGCTCCCCAACCCCGTCCACCGACCGTATTTTATCGGGCATCCCACTGAATCAACGGAAATCCTGCGAATCTGTTCTGAAATTTATCCCAATTACTCGACTATGATTTTAAGCTACACAAAACTTTAGGGGTTTGGGTTGACCATCGAACATTGTTTCTACCTTGTGACATTTAATATACCAGTGGCCTAGATAAATAAATGTTTAGGTTCGTGTAAGTCTGGCTAGATACTGACTTATACTACTTGTCCGACACTTCATAACCTTCGTTTAGGATATAACTCTTTTGAATTCAATTAAATGTAGCTACTATAAGGAAGAAATGTACCACCAACATCCCACGCGAAAAGACGCAAACGATTGATCAATATCCACCACCCAAAAGAATATCCCGTCAACTTCAGCCACCGAAACTTTCCACGAATAAAAAAAAAAGCATATCTTCAATGTACCCAACCCGCCTAAGCCCCCTTCAATCAACATCGCGTGATCCACATAGATTTTTCGAACCAAGAAAGAATCGCGTGCTCGATCAATGTCCCCTCCAGAAACCTTCCTAACCCAGATCCATCCTTAAACCCGTCGAAAAAAAAAGAAAGAAGGTTGAAAGGGTTACACTGGCGAACCGTTTATCGAGCCTGATCCAGGAACAGAATACACGAAAACGCGGTTCTCGGGGGTATTCAGCTACTTGGTCGGCGAGTTACGAAGCTGGCAGGCATGTAGGGGCCCCACGTACGCGAACCCCTCTCCCTTTCACAGGGGAGAAAACTCACCGGTCTGCCGGCCGGTGTCTCCGCGCGATAGTTCGCCGAACAATAGTTTGGAGCGGAGCGGTTACCAACATCCGGCGTGCTATCAGGGCACCAACCCCTCGAACGCATCCCTACCGACGGAAGACACTCTGAGGACACTCGGTCCAGGGGTGGAGGGGTAGAAACTTTTTCATCCACCTTCGATCCTGGGACAGGGGGATAATGTAACGGCTGTGTCGTCGATCCTCCAAGGGGTGGAGAGATGTTCTCTCCCCTTGCAAAGGGATGGTTATCGATTAATTGGCCCCCATCGAACGCGCGAAAAAGAATTTCCATGTGAAATCTAGGGCCTCGTTTTTCTCTTCTCGAGTATCGTTAAATATAGGGAACGGATCTCTCGCGGACGTGTGGTGGGCCGGTTGATCTCGCGGACTCTTTTTTTATTCGCTCTTCGAGGGAATTAATTAACGAGGAACGGAGAATTTCAATGCGATGGGAATCGTCGGGTGCCCAGTGTATAGAGAGACACGCGGGGTAGCGGTAGGGACAGTTGGCGTAGGGGGACGGTGCGAATGGATTAATTAAAAATGGGACGTGTGCGTTAATATTCCTGACGAGCCGTAAATCGCGCGATTCTAAGAAAGTTTTTTTTTCTCGCCCCGTTCCGTGAATTCCTTCGACTCGAAATGGAAGGTATTTTTCTTAGGAAGTGGGTGGAATACCGTGTTGTGGGCTCCGTCGATCTCTATAGTAATTGAAGTTGCTTTATAAAATTGCGAGTAAGAATTCAATTACACTGGAAAATTAATGTTGTTCTGAGTTGCTTTAACCCTCTAATGGTGCAGGTCGTATTCGACCCAAATTATAGTTCCTCTTGTGCTGTCCCCGTTCCATTTTTTATTATCTTTTCATTATTCTCGTTTTAAAATAGATTTTCTTTCATTTTTATTAAACTTGTATAACGAGATTTATTAACTGTAAAACGAGAATAATAAAAAAATAATGAAAACAGATTGAAAGCAGCACAAGAGGAACCATAACTTGCGTCGGATACGACTCGGACCTTACCCTTAAGAGTGTTCAAAATTGGTCTGGTACACGATGTAGAAACTATGTAGTCCCCACCCCCTGAAACCGTAGCACATACCGCATCGAAAACGCCTGGAGTCAATAAGAAAAGAAAAGAGAAAAAGAGGCGGCCGTTCCCGAAGCGGCGCGAGTCGACGTTAAATATTAAACCTTAATATCGAGGAAGGGGTTTCTGGTCGTCACGTAGACGGCTCTCGGTTTCTCGCGCCCAGGATCCTCAACCGTGGACGGTGTGCAAACCGCAGTGCGCCCCACGGTTAAAAAATTTACGATTCTCTCCGCGGCTTGTGCACCTCTCGCCTCTGCGAGCGCGCCCACTCGAGTGTTTGTCCACGCGAGCCTGTGTTCGCCACACCACCTCTTACATACGTGTGTTTGCACCGCATGTGCGCGCACGTGGCCGCAAGAACCCGCAAATCCCTGTGCACATACATCCGCGAGAGCACCTGTGTATACCTAATACTCCCTTTTCGTTCGCTATTTTCATCTCCACTCGGCGACCATAACGGGTTTCTTTAATACTTCTTAATAGTAATTCCTAACAGATGGAACTGTACTTCTGTAACATCTGCAGGACACAAAAAATCGAATGTCATGAAAAAAATAAACGAAGAATCTTTGACGGACTTTAAATCGTCGAAACGGAAATCGATCTATTTCTACCTCTCAAAAATTAATTACACCGCGACGGTCGTCGAGAATAGCAGTGATCCATCAACTTCGATGTCTCGAAGCTCTCCAAGGACCGAGTATTTGCCGTCGAGGCAAACCTCTCTCCGCGTCCAAAATCACGGTCGACCGGCTCGTTCCCGCAATTAATAATCCCGCGGGCTGAATACAGGGGCCAGCCTCTCAGGGGGAATATAAGGGTGTGTGAAGGTGTTGACTCGTGTTTTTCTCGGCCGGGTCTCCGGGGTTCAGCTAGGCGAGAGAGCTGTTCAAGTTTCTTAACGCGCGTGTGGCCAACGGCAACTACTTGCTTTAACAAGCGTTCCACGTACACGAAACCGTTTCCCAAATTGTTCGGACAGCCCTCTGGCCAACGATTAGGAACCAACTCGAGGCATCCCGGAAAAATATTGTGTATTACGTAATTTCGATTTATCAAATCATGGAGAATTTTTATCATTGGAACATACTCTACGGAACATTGTACACTGATATACAGGGTGTACCAAAAAGATGAGTACCCCAGATTAACTCGGAAAGATGAAAGTTTTAGAAAAAATGTTTGATAGAAAAGTTTTAGACTTCATTCTCAGGTCAATTCGATTCGTTTAAATGGGAACTTCTACCTTTTTAATAGATTTGACCTTCGAATGAGCCCTAGAGGTAATTTCGATAATCACTACGACAAGTATTATTAATATTAGATTCGCCGAACATATACGACCGTTGTTTATCATTCGAATTTGTCGTTCGTTGAATTAGATCGACGTATCCTCGTAACTCGAGCGGTAGTTTTCACGTCACGTGACCCCTCGGCCGACCTCATAAATTTACTCTTACGGGACCCTAAGGACGTTAGGGGGCTGGGTAGGGCGTCAATATCTCCGAACGACCGGCGGAAACGAAAACACCTGCCGTAATATCCGTCACGCGCAGTCTGACAAAGAACAGAGTCATTTCGCTGGCCGTATTCGCGGGAGCTATTTACCCAAGCCTCACGATTTTCCACGGCTTATCTCCTCGTTTGCGGGACAAAAAATGACGCTGTCGATCCCCCCCTCCCGTCGTGGTCTCCTTATCGACTTCCCGGGGATGATTCGCCTGGAAACGAAACGGAGACTGCGTTTAAACAGGTGTAACCTTTCCATTTGAATTTATCGATGGCATTTGTGCACAGTGTAGAAGAAAGTAGACACAGATATTCCGACGGCGATCGACGGTTTTGTTTGTCGGGGGCGGCCTCCCGCGGATTACCGTAAAATTGGGTTCGTTCATTATGCACGACGCTGATTAGATTCGTAGGTCGGCACGTCGATGGATTCGAGGCGGCCCCGTGGAGTGTTTGGTTTCGCGGTGGAATTTTCGCGTCCGTTGATCGTGTTCGACGTCATTGAGTTTTGACGGTTTTGTGCCCAGTAATTGCGATATTCGCGGGAAGATTCCCCGACCGGTATACTGGGTGAGACGACGAGTTCGGTAACATTATATTCGATTCTACTTACATTCAATTTCTGAAGGATAACATTTACAATCACGTGAATAATAATATTTGACGATCTAGTCAATGTGATTAGCAATACAATAACGATGTATAGCCACTAAGTAGCATAGCCAGGGACGTAGTCAGACAAGACACGCATGACAAACCATTGACTCGTACTACTTGAAAACTGCAGTACGTATATTTCTCTTATTTCCAGCAGTGTTAGAATTTCTCGACCTTGAAACTATTTTTTCTTAAATGGGAAATATCACTAAAACAATCTAAAGAACAGATTCGTAAAGAAATCCGGTACGGCAATACAGATGTATATCAAAATTCCCATCTCGCTCGTTTTCCCCCTCTACACACACATGTTTCATAATTGTTTCAAGTTCCGTCCGTTCATTCTGTCTCGCAGCAATTCGTCCCGTCACGCAAGTTATTTCCACAATTTTCTTCGTATAATTTCCCCCATTCAGCCCTGCCGTTTTTTTAAAGCACCGTGCCGCATGCAACTTCCCCGCGCTCTTTTTATTTATTTACTTTTTTTTCGCTCTATTTCCTGGCACACGCGCGCTTGTTAAGCCAGTAAGTCCGACGCATATTCACGCAATTTTTTCCATTTCCCCTTTCGCTGCAACGTTGCCTCCACCCCTCTATCCATGATATGCATATTTGCAGCCGCGTTTCATCCGTCTACTTCTTTATGAATCCCGCAACCCTCACCCCTTCTACTATTTTTTTTGCTTCAATTTTCATTTTTTCTCGTTTTCGAACGATACTGACGGCGGATAAAGGGCGAATGGAATGGGAGTCGGGTTGTTTCGATGACATTTTCACCTGGTTGCGTGAGACTCTGATCCGATTGACCCCGTAAGATCTGTCCACGAACAATCGCAAGTTTACAGAAATAATGGACAATCGTGATTGTTATTATCCTGCACGAAATAATGGAAAGGTTGACGGTTCAGAATATGTTGCACTTCCGGACCCTTTCACTTCGAATCGTATGTAATGTACAGTCCAATAACTGTTCGTAACTAAAAAAAAACGATCTCCAGTACCTGTTGTTCATTGATGAAACATTATTAGAAAATTAGCTTGAAGTTTTTCGGTCGATTTCGCCGGTTTAGCGAGATCCCGAGCCCGGAAAGCTATTGTTCGCGTGGTAAACGCGATTGTAGACCGCAGGCCTGTGAAAACCGGGTCGTCGCGTCCGGGAGGAGGGCAGGGAAACTGATTGAAACTCACGCGTCTGCTAATTAGAGGGTGAAAGGGAAGAAAAAGCTCGATGAAGGGGGTACTGGTGAGGGAGATTAATTTTCCGGATGATGGAACGGCGTCTCGTGGCTCGTATACTCGCGTTCGATTGTCCTTCTTTAGAAACAGGTGTGGGACTCGATGAGAGGTGTCGTACTTTCTTCTTTGTTCGCCGATAGATTCATACGTTTTTTGTTCGTTCCTTCAATTGATTCATTCCCGTCTTTATCGAATCGGATATGTAATATACAAGGTGACTAATAAATATGTGATAAATATTCTGACAGACTTGTAGACAATGGAGACGATGGAAGCAAAGATCATAAAAATCTTGTAATGAATTCGACGAGTGTACATTTCTACCTTATCTTATCTCCAATTTGTTCAAGTTAATGTCGAATAATTATCATCTTGATCTACGATTATTTCTGTGCTCTATCTGAACATTGAAAATCGCAAAGCTGCTCGAATAGCGACTGCCTTGGCTCGAAACACGCGACAATATTCACAAATTACATTTCCCGCTGGAACGTTTTCAAACTTTCCGCGGCAACAATTTAGAAATTATCTCGAACACCGTTCGCTTATCGTCCCGGTGGAAAAAACACACACCGAGAGAGAAAGAAAGAAGAAGAGGCGAAACTTTCGAGTGTTGAACACTGCCCCGTTCTAATTTACTCCGTGTACACGCAGTTAACGCCCGCGACGCGGTATGACGTTGCAGGAACTCTCGTGTAAACGAGCCTTAATGCTGATACCGCGCGTTCGCTCGGGCCCGCGTAGAGGAAAGGAAGAAAAAAGAGGAAGGTGAAAGTTACGAGGGGTAAGATAACATTTTCTCCGGCGTTGAGCGTAAATTTCGAGGTTCCGGCGATAGCAAATATTAAACGACAAACAGCGAGCCAGTGAGCAAATCACTCTTTAAATCGTTTGGTTTTCTTGTTTTAGATTCCCCTTTCGTGTTTTCATTTCGCCAGCGTTTGGAAATCGAACATAGAAATTTATCGAAAATAAACTGTTCAACAAAAGTGAATAGAGAGAAATTCACGTGCTACAACCTAAACAATGTGGGCATTTGGAAAGTATTCGACGATGATCTTCGGTTATAGCTTGTTTTTCTTAAGAGTGTCACATCTAGACAAAATTCCGAATTCTTACCTGGCCCGACGAAGAATGTCGAACGTGGAGAAGGCTTCGACGTCGATGGGCTTGTCCTCGATCTCCCGTTGACTGATGGCGCGTACGTTCTTGATCATCAGGAAATTTTGAAGGTAGCTAAGGAAATAGATGGGCAGGGACGCGCCCTCCTCGGGCACCAACGCCAATCGACTGGCCACCTGCTCCACCTGAAAACATTTTCCACGCCTCGTAAATTCCGCTCGTCCGTCCCGGCTAAACCCGTGTAACTTTATCATCCGTCGGCCAATCGGTGTACGGAGGTGTGCACACTCTCTAAATAAAAAGGAACTCGTCTCGCGGAGCTCCTTCTCGCTTCAATCTTCCCACGTCGAATCGACGTGAACGTGATGGGAATACCAGAAGCGATTCGCGGAGTTACAAATAAAGTTAAGATTCTAAGCTTCGAAATGTTTTTCATTGGATCAGGGAAATTGGATTTTTTTTAGACTGCTAATTTAAGGGGTGGGAATTAAGGCTGGGAGATTTAAAGGGGAGAAGATTTCGGGAAAGGGTTGGTTAGAATTGTGATTGTGTAAGGATCGTGAAATTACCTTAAGGAACCTCGCGCGAAGCACGTCCTCCGGGTAAACGCCCCTCTTTGCAGCCTCTTCCGGAATGCCTTGGATTGCTGCCTGCACAAGAGGATCTTCCTTGGCTGGAAAAACCAGAAAGTATCGTATAAAGATAGATAAGAAATAAGATAATTATTTTGGAAACTAGTATACGGAACATACGATACGTTCGTAAGTATTAGGACACTTATATGTAATAAGAAGTAAAGAAACTGTTCTATTTATTCCGATCACTGGAATAATGAGAAATGTCTAATTTGTTACAGAACGGTTTGTTTTCTGCAAATTACAGAGTCTGACTGTTTCGAGAAAGTTTTCCGGACGCTGGAACTGAACGTTCAATTTTGCTTATCTCTGTAAATTTTGTTCAGACCGTTTTACGACGATTTTGTAGAGGGTCCAAGTAATGTTTACAAATTGCTGTCTTTCTCACGATTACCGCGAGATAGGAAACTGAGGACTAGGGAATCGTCGTGGAATTTTACGACTGGAAATACCCGGAGAGGGAATTGATTAACATCGGGGAACAGTGACGCCCCACCTAACGAATTGCATTACACCAGATGCTGTTACGTAGCTGGAATATATTAGTTCGTAATTTTGTGAACCGGCCTGGCCACGTGATAAATCGGCGCAGGAATTTTAAACAGTTTTCTGGAACTGTCCGAGTGGAACTTATTCATTTGTGCACACAATGTGGAATCGTATATGTATGTACAGAGCATTGCAGGAATTCTTCGTAATTGAACGTCAAATATTACGTAGAAATTCTGCAGTGCACTAAGAATTTCATAGTGGTGTATCACTGTTATTAGTCGGACTCTGTGAAATTCGTGTATGCCATTAGAGTGCTACACACACGTGGTTATTCTCCTTACAGTAGGTAGTACAAATTCCTTCCTTTTATCTGAAAGATTTTCATCTCCATTACCTAGATATTCCATGCCTTGAATAGTTCTTTAGAAATAATGTAAAATATTTGTTATTAAATGTAAACATCTGTGATTATTAAGTACCTATGAAGTGTATATCACTTAATTAAGCCGACGTAATTGTCTCTGGCCAGTCACAGAAGTATACTGCCTATGTACACCTGTAAGGAGATAACGCCTAAGGCCATTATACTTAATCATGTCTGACCATGGTTGGGGCACACTACTGATTTATGTCCCGTTGCTATTAAAGGAATGAAACCGCTTGATACCGCGGCACGTTAACCTAACTGAGTTTAAATAACAATTAAGCTTCCTTTCACAAACGATATGAACAATTTAATTAAATAATAAAAATAAAAATTCATAGGATGTTGCAAAGAAATAAAAAATAGTGCAATATGACCTAGTTCACGTTAAATATATTATGGAATTTTAATCGATATTCAAGACAAGCTCGTTCAGAGGTTGAAAACTGAAACATTAACTGACTTCAGGCATTGTCCCCGAAACCCATAAATGAGATACTTTTTCCTAGTCACCATAAACCTTCATGACGGTCTGTTCGTTAAAACAAGAAGTTCTATTGTTTCGGGACGCGAGTGCGCCCGTTAAAGTGGCGAGAAAAAAGGAAAGAATCCGGAATTAATAGAAGGACCTCTTGAGCTTTTATTAAGACCGAGTTTCATACTTCTGACAGGGGGTATTATTATACGTTTATTCCGTGGAAGGGGTGTATCGTTGTCCCGTTTCAAAACCCTGTTCGCGTACTCCATTTCCGCTCGACAACGGAAACTTAATAGCGATACAAACTGCATATTCTTTCGAGTAACTCCCCGCCCCCCGTTAACAAAGAGCCACGCCACGTCGAACCCTTGCTGCTACCGCGAAAAATAAGCTTCGAAAAAACCCAGAGAACCGAGCTGGGTCGTTTAAATTAATATTCTCTGACCGACAATGCCGTGGCCAAGCCCGATTGCGCTTTTTCGTATCCGCTATTCCACAATGAATTCCGCAGAGGAGAAAAAAGGCGTTCAAGCATCTGTAATTCTGCTCGTTCTTTCGTCATGAATGTGTGGAACAAATTACATTTATTCTGTTAGTGTAAAAAATAGAACGGTGTTTGTACATCTAACCCGAAAGTGAACCAAGACCTGCCCAAAAAACTTACTTGTAGCTGGATCGTTCTAGTGGTAGAACACTATAAAAGATCAGTCGTAAGTAGTATGAGCGCATTCATGGTCACACGGGAATATTTTTACTCTTACAATTAAAAATCTGACAACTTTCTTTTTATTGAAAGAGATCGATTACCCTTCTTGGAACTCTTCATGCTACATTGTTAAATGAAAACGAACGTCCAAGATTGTATTATGGAATTTATGAAGGCTATTTCTCGCGGTGAAAAGGGATTTTACTCTACGGTTCCTCGATTTCTCTCCCCATGTAGAATCATTCTCCCGATGGTAACACTCATTATGGTCGGACCTGTATTTATCGCGTTGTCGAGGAAGTTCCACGGTGGTTCCGCATGAAAAATTACCAACAACGAATGGAATCGTTCTAATTCCCTTCGGTGGGAGGGCCACGGACAAAGAAAGCGGACGCGATGGGGTGTCTCGGGGCGAGGGAATCGTCCAAGATTTACGACTTAATCGGCGGTGAGCGTGCATAAACGCCTCGCCAGTCGTTTCGAGGGGAGGTTGCATTCCCCCTGTCAAGTGTATTAATTATGCACTTGCTTTCCCAGAGTTCACAGTGGAACGATTCCATCACCCGACAAACTATTTCGTGCCCCATCGTTTTGATTTATCGCTGGATTTTTTCGAAATATATTTTCATCGTCCACTTTCAAGCATCTCGAAATACGAAGCGATATTTTCGCACAGTAGAAATATTTTATCGAGAACTTTTAAACCACTCGATGCAGAGAACATTCTCGAAATATCCTGTAATCCCAGAAGCCTGTGCTTTTTGCAGGATATTTTATTTCACGTGTTCGTGTTGAAGAGAAATTATTACTAAACAATAGAGCCTACAGTCTGCACAAATTCTTCAAATCACTAAGTCCTTCCTATAATTTAAAAGTACTAGCAACTATGATAGCAATTATAGGGTACAACTTTTGTTCGTTAATCGCAAAACAATCAGTGAATCTCCCTCCGTCGAATCGTCTCCAATGTCCACGACGAGACGCAATAAGCGTTTCTCCGGGTCGAATGAAACGACGCGGACTATTTAATTCATCGCAGAGCCCGGCGGGCAGTTAATGAGTTTTCACGGCGCGACGCCCGTGTGGCATTACGGGCCCGAATATTCATTGCGTGTCGCGGAACACACACGCCCAAGGACGGAATTTACGCGTTCCGTACCGATTTCGGACTCCAGGAAGATAAAAAGCCATCTCCCACCCCGTAAATTCTCGAGGGTGGGCAAACGATAAGGCGGTTCTGTGTTACCAGCGTGATATTAGCGTAATGATTTCCGAGCGATAATGACGATTGCGGTCGAGTCAGAAATTCAACCGTGAATATACACACGGTGAGTTTAACGGGATATATTGTTATCTGCCGGAATGCTTATCCCGTTAACTGCGCATTTGTCCATTCCAGTGAACGCCCAATTTATCACTTTTGTGACAATATTTGGACGATTTCTAGACAATCGCTAGCGCGAAACTTCTTTGAATGGCATTCAAACATTAGAAAAATGGTGTTACTGTGACTTCTAGTTCGCTGTTTATCACGAGCAAATACATTGTTTATATAAAAAAAAATCTTTTAAATAGCTATTTTAATCCACAAAAATTTTTGTACAAGATACTAAAAAGATGCACTGAACGGGTTAATAAATTCCCGTAAATAGCGAGGCGTCCACGTGAATTTTGAAATTGTTGCAATTCGAGAGAGTTTGATGAAATACTGACACGGTGAATCACTGACCCAGAAGTTCTCTATATCCTTGTTTTATCGAATAAAAAACTTGGCTGTGGACGGGACCATGGTAGTTGATTACGCCTGACCATACATACGGTGCTACTACTTACGCGTGTCTGGACAGACAGGTCTCATACTACTTGGATGCCCCACCTTGTACAGAGATGTACTACTTAGAAAGGTGCTACTTTTTCACGATTCTTAGACGAATATTGACACATTGAAATACCTCGAATTCTTCCAGGTGAAAATTATTATTTAAATTAATCTAGCTCTCGGAATTATGCAGCTATAAATTGAGTTCTATTTCACGAGAACCTCTTCGTACGGTGAAGGGTGTCTGAATAAAGAACGCCGAGTAAATAGTAAAAGAAAAGAAAAAATAGTATGCGAAACGATGGTAACCATGGGAACCACCAAGTTATTCACCTGCATTCGTTGAAATATTTATACGAACCGGCGCATATCTATTGGCAGGCGGAAACATTCAAAGCTTTCGCGTCCAACGGACCGTCGAGCGTTTTAGCATTCTGACCGCGCGGAATTCCGATACGCCGATACTTCCGCGATTGTAGCTTTAATCCCCCCCGAAGATTGGCATTGTACCGCGGGGGGTGAGGGAGAGGGGGTAGAATAGAGAGATTATCATGTGGTTACCGCAAACTGTGTGGCCTCGGCCCCAGAACCCGCCCCATTCCACCAACCACCGTAAAACATAACGATATTAATATCAGTTAATATTAATCCACGATCGTGTTAATAGACAGCTCGCGAGACTGCTGTCGATTTCAGAGAGATATTATCCGGCCGAATGCCCGAGACATAAAACACGGGATGTAATTTCATTTATTGCCCGTAAATATAATCCCTTTCCCTCCATGTATATACATGTAGACACGTAAAAAAGAGCAGACTACACGGTAAATAGATTATTTGTATATTACTGTCAGAACAGTGAGAGGACTTTAAATAGCATTCACAGATTTGGATCTTTAATTTTTATGTAATCATTCCACCAACACTGTCATAATTAGACTGCGGATGTTTATGCATTTATAGCATCTCTTACCTTGTAAAATGAAGTAAAGCCTCCACTACACAATTTAAACCTCTGTTCCACTTCAATCTTTAGATATCAGTATCTAAAACATCGATTTTGCATAAACTTCTACAGTCTAGTCATGGTTATTCTGATTCGTGTAATCGGTGTTATTCATTTTAATTTGAGTGGTTGCTTCTAACGGATCTAGAAGATAATAAATAACTTACGTGCGGCCTTGGTGACTGCTTTGATCTCCGGTTCGAGAGGCCTGATTGCTTCGTTCGCGCATACGCCAAGCGGCGTAGTTTTCACGGCCCTGGCCAGAGCCTGACAGGCTGACCACAGGATCTGCGCGTTCGACGCTCCCTTTTCTGCGTCCATACGTGCTGTAACAGAGAAGAACAAAAAGAATCGATTAGCAAAAAAAACTCATTCTTCCTTGTTAGTTGTGTCGTAAAAACGGAATTCCAGAAACTCGACGCTCAATTTAACGCGTCTAGGTACCACGACCGACGGTGACTCGATGAAATTTCGCGGAAATTCCGGTTAGTCTCGAGTTCGAGAACGCTTGAAGCATCAAGGTTACCCCCCGCCTAGGAAGCAGTTCGCAAAATAGAATTTAACTTAAAAGCACTCGAGAGCCCCGTCGTCGCTTATATCGCATTATCCGCTTCTTATCTTGTCGTTCCTCTTTAAAGGGGTGTTCGAGGGGACCTGCCGTAAAATAATGGTGGTTCAGAAAGGTCACGTTCGTTCGGTACACGTTCCGCCGAGTTGGAAGAGGCGATAATGTTGCCGGGAACGGGGCAAGATCGAATGGACTCTGTAGACTCGTGGCCGAAAGATGGACATGTGGAATCGAACGACGATGGGCAGACGTGGAAAGAGAAACGTCCGACCGAGGACAATTTTATTGGATTTCAATCCGCGCTTTAAAATCATGAAGAGAACCAACGAAAATACACGTTGTTCCTATTTTGACAAGAACATCAGGAAACTATAGCTACGAACATCATTCCTACGAAGTGATGCGTGATGTGAAAACACCAGCCCATATTAATCGAAGGATCTCAGAAAATGAAATTTTATAAGGATAAATAGATCGTATACTTTTTCTGTTCTCCATAAAAACATCAAGAGGCATCATGCAAGGACCATACCCAAGAAGAAGTATCAAATATGGCGTAAGGGGACTTTATGGGAGTCGCTATAACTTCGCGAAACGAAGTAGAAGGGTAATGATAATAACGATCGGTCATAAAATTCCAAGGGAAACGACACACACCATTCCGTTGAAGGACTCGCGTGTGGTTCCGACACGCCAGCAGGAAAATAAGAAAACCGCGGCTCGAGAGAAGTGGCCGTCGACCAGCGATCCATAAATCAACGGGGAACGGTAGGCAAGAATCGAAGCGAAATAAATAAAAGACGGTAACGGAGTTACCTCGCGAATCGAAGTTCGATGTCCACGGTCCCCCGTTTCGTTTTCCGGACGATGGTATGACAAATGCCCCCCACTCTTCTGTCCCTCTTCTCTTTTTAGACATTCGTCCACGCACTTTACGAATTTCATCGTTTTCTCGTTTAAACTGAATCGTAGTGAACGTGTCGAAGGCGACGTTTCGTTATCGTTCCTTCCCGCGACATCGACTTTAATGGACCACTCGTTTCGTGGACTGCTCTCACTGACGGTGATTTTTTTCGGTACGTGGACTGTGTTCGTGTGACAGCTACATTCAGCATTTCTATGAAATTCTGATGGAATTTTTAATAAAATTCAAGAAGCACTGTAATTTGTAATTAGGTATGGTCGAATGTGTACCGAATTATTGAGTGTGAGATTTCGCAGATTCTTTCTCGTAAGACTGGAAAATCAGTGATTGTTGACTAATAATTTCTTAGGAATGTTAATATTTGAATCTTCAATGAATAGCGGGATCCACGTGATTTCTAATTCACGAACGGCAACTCGACTTAACCCGGCAAGGTGTTTTCCCTGGTCAAGTCTGTCGTTAATGTCGCCCGTGAGAATATAAAAAAAACCGAAATCCATCTGGATCAAGTGCTCCCGCCCCGGTGATTTATTATACACGTCAATCCGGATAACTTACTGCGAAGTAACCTCGTTCGCAAAGTGCCAGCCCCGCTCCGTGCCTCGTCCCTGAAACGCTATATTGAGGTAGATTCACGGTCTTCCGAAGCGAACGATCGAATGTAGACACACTTTATATCGTTTTTTTAAGTCATAAATCGTCGAAAATACTATATGCGTTTAGTTAACCCTCTTAGTACTTTACAATGTTTCCGAGTACCATCTAGAAGTACCTTGGAAAATATGCATTCTTGAAGATATTTATTAAAATTGACACATGTTTTCTAACGATAAAGATAATTTTACACGTCTTTTTCTATTTTATAGTGAAGTGTATTTTGTATTATATGAAAAATATTGGAAATATTATACTTTTCGTCACTTTCTGTATCAGAATTTATAATTTATATTTCGGCTTGTGAGTACTAAGAGGGTAAATAGAGACTGTTGGTCTTGTTTTACATTATACTGTAATATTTAATAAAAATTTGGTATCGTATTCGGATAAACCTACCTCTCTGCAATGTGTACGTGTCGGCCATGTTTGTGTGACGTGGTGGCAAAGTGTTAAAACGCACGAAACGCTCCGCGGCATTGTTTCCGACGCGACGACGAATCCCCATGGGGAGGGAGTGAGTTTCACGGATGATCGAAAAACTGTGCCAGAGTAAATGAAATTAGACGGGCGAATTTCACAGATCGCTACGCGTTGCTGCCTTTCTCCCCGAGAGTCCCGACTGCGAATTGTTTTACTTGATTTTTCTCCCCTTCCACTAAGACCCCTAATTCTAAACTATCTTTGACACAAAAACAGGACAAGATCCTTCTCCACTTGTTTCGTTTGGCAACGAAATGAATCACGTGTGGAATCGATACATTTACAGGTGCACCAGCAGCTAGAAAGCAGCAGCAGGAAAGCCAGCCAAACGGGTTTCCCACAGATTTTCGCGAGACAGTAATCCTTGCGAACACAGACGACGAATGGCGGACGTCCTCCCCCATCGCTGTGACGCTTTCATCGGATAAGCAAACAGCGGCTTATGAGAACCAAGGGCGGGATCCGGGAATACTGAAAAGCACTCGTGAACGTCGCGTTTGTTCTTATTTACGTCTCCCAGCGCGATTCCGGAATGATCGTAAGGGCTGGCGAGGCCAGCTGGGAAAATGAAGACACTTCGGAAAAATGGCGGAGTGCCCTCGTTCGACGTTGCCACAGTGATCGAGACGATTTAAATGTCGGACACCTCATATATATCCCTTGAATTTCATTCAATTTCGATTGTTGTTAACATTATGAAAAAAGTAAAAAGAATTCTATTTAATGAAATACTAATGATCGTTGTGAGATCAAACAGAAGGAAGTTTTCAGGATTCTGTTGGAATCGACGCTGCAGAAGATACTAGAATGTCATATCTCTGGTGGCAAAATGCTGCATTTATTTATACACATTTCGTTGAAACGATCAGTTCGAGTACTCGCGCAGTAAGTGATCCTAAACTTTTTAGTGACAATGTAAATACATTTTTATTTTTTTTATTGTCTCTCGTAACCGGTTCCGATAAGGGCCAACGAAAAAGATGGCCGACACTGAAAGGATACAAAAACCTCGACGATCGTGCTCGGGAAAGGACTTTACGATGGAGTTTCAGCGTGCCTCGAAACAGCCAGTTAAATTTGGATTGCGAATTTAAGCGGGAAAGTGGCTCGAGATAAGGGCGAATGAACAATTGAAGCAGCTGCACTAATCATTGCGCGTTTTAAACGATCGTAGGATGGTTGTGGGGTTTCGAAATGGCGCGAAATAATCCGGGGGACTGATAAAGGCCTTGGGAACGCGTTCGTAGAGAAAGGATTTTGGCCACTGTAGCTCGGTGGTGACATTAACTCGAACGATTCAATTCTCTCCATGCGATACAAACTCACGAGGACGATAATCAGTTCCTTATTCAGTATTCTGACAACCTTAAGGACAACCAATAATCGTTATGTGGATCAAATAGCGTAGAGTTTCAATATTATGCAATTTCATCTTGATTAATCGAATTTCAACTTATATATTGCAAAAGACATACCAAGTCTTCAGACATTTCCCTTCTTTAAAACAACCCATTTCAAATTCTGATCTATGTTCGAAAAGGTACGTCAAGATCTTAAGAATTTACCTTCAGGAATCCATTAACGTCGATAAAAACTGTCTTATTAAATATTTTGATTTCGTGTAGCCTAAATTTGATTTCGATTAATCGAATTCGAAAAGATCCCAAGAATTACGAAGTATTTCGGAATTTTTTGTTCCTAACGACAATAGAACGACTCGAAATTGATTCGAGCGATGACTTCCGGCGAAGTGTTCTTGCCCCCGTATTCATGGGGTTGCGTTTACATACTGATTGGAACGCGTACGTCAGCGTGACACGGCCGCTTAACAATAAAAGCCGCTGTCGTTGCAGGGGATAGTGCTCATTCTTTATGAGCCTGGGCACGCGCAAAACCGAGGTTAAATCAGTGCGGGATTAAGCCCCGACGAGCTGCGGCGTGTCCACTCTGACGTTTCACGCTTCAAGGGTTCAACAAATTTCGACAGTTACCAACAGAACGGCCCTCTTTTGTTCTTTTTCATCCTCTGTCTGCGTATTCCTTAACCCTTCCATTGTTGACTGCGCCTTCCCTTCCACTCCTATTTCTACTCCTTCGTGACCAAAATTTTTCTTCTTTTTTTCAGTACCATTATTCACCGTTGAAGTTTGAACCCATTCAGCAAAAAAGAAGTAAGAATTTGAGGGAAAAACATCCTGTTTTTGTCTCGACCTGTGCAGTGCTATTTTCCTTGTTAATGCAGTGATTTTTTTTTCTCATTTGGAGGTTAGATATTTTATGATCGCTTAAACGATTTCTTCGTCTACGTATACAATGTTTATTCATACCGTATTTTCAACGTTACTTCACCCCTACTCCCTTGTCCTGTTCTTTCAAATCCTTTCTCTATATTATTTCTCCCTTTCATGTCGACTCTCTTTGTTGTTCCACTGTTTCACGTCTTCCTCCGCCATTAACCTTCCCTTTCACCGCCACCCTCGCTAACTAACCCCGTTTTCGCCTCCTTTCTCTATAATTATCCCCCTGGTTCGCGTCTTCTCCCTCTACCCCCCCTATCCACCCTTTCACGCCTTCTCCCGTGAATTAATCTTTACTGGCTCGTCTTTTCCCACCAATTAACCCTTTCACTTTAATCCCCCTCTTCCTTCGCGATTGTTTATCCACGTTCGTCCTTCCCTTAAAAAGAAAACCCCCTT